CGTGCATACGGTGATTGGTGTGTGGAATTCGATTGGGTATGCATGTCAGGCGGCTCGGCGGTGACGCTAGGTGGTGATGTATGTGACATAAACGCGTACGCGACATGAGCAGATCTGACCACAGTTTTGTGTCTTGGGCACTGTAGACGGAAACACTACGGTATTCAACTTTTCCACTCTTTTCCACTCTCCATCACCAACTAAACAACAGGCACTTCCAATAAAATATTTTTTTACCTGCAAGCATTCTTATGTGATCTATGCCAACTGTAAAGAGGAGCATAAATTGCCATTTGTTTTGCCAAAATACAGAAATCTGTGTTTGCGAATGACCATAAAGCAAAAAAATACAGTGGCAAAAGTCCCTCAGATTATGACTGACACGAGAATGCACAGTGTTACATGCTCTTTTCACAGTTTTATTTATTGGTAGTTTCCAGATTCTAGAATAACATTGCACTTTCCTGTGAAATATCTCTGAGGTAAATTCACAAATGTTGAATCTGATCATTTCTATTAGTGACTAGACCCAAGAACTCACTGCAACAAATATCTATATTTTAACAATATCAATTTTGGCTGCCCCCATCTGTATTAAATAATATAGGCCTATAGATTGTTGTGATGTCATCTGAAACCCACCAATACCAACCATCCCAACCCCAGTGTGTCCCAGTTTAGAATGTTGAAACTCTGGTCACTGTAATTTTGTAATATAAGACTTTTAACTTTCGATTAATCTTTCACTCAAGTTTGTAAGATTTCTCCAAATACAGACATCACCACAGCGTTTCCATCTGCGCCTGGTCTGATCTGATCCTCCATCGGCCTCAGCTCTGACGCTAATCGCTGTCATTAGCATTAGCCCGTGTAGCATGCAGAGCACCAGTGGATGCTAATAGCCTGTTAGCGTTAGCCTGCGGTGCACAGGTGTGGACCTGTCACCGGTTATTACGGGATCCATCACTGTCTACAGTTTGACCTTGGACCACAAGAAATGATTATTCACTAAGAAACGATCATCGAAATAAATATGATCTAAAATACATTTCTCGTGCAACAGTTATTCTTCTTTTGGCAAGGAAAAGGTAATAGGGGCTACCATTTAAAAAGAGATTTAGCAGCATGGCTATTAACAGCAGCATGCTAACACATTTTCAGTGCCGAAACTGTCAGAATGAGTGTTTTCCTGTAGAGTTGAAACCAGGTTTACTTGTGTTTTTGAGATGATGTGAATGAAATACAGTTCAGAACACGTGGGTTCTCACTCACACAAACATTAGAGGCAGTTTTGGAGAAATGTCAGTATTGCATTTTACTCGCTGATATTTCAATGGTTATAATCTGACAACATGACCTGATGTTCCACAACCTGGAACTAAACCTGGACTAGACCAGCACTAGGACTAGAAATTAGAACAGGACAAAACAAAGTCCACATCAGGACTAAACTGGACTGAAACCAGGACCAGACCAGGACAAGTGCCACTGCACTTATGAAAATGTTATTATTACTTTGCCTGAAATATTCCACAGTATGGCATTAAACTGATCTATGTTTCATTTATTCAATTTATTCAATTATATTGCCAAAAATACTTGGTTTGGTAGAGTCCAAAGTAGTATGCAATGCTGTGGCACATTTCCATAGAGGGAAAAAAAAAAGTAAATGGAAAATTAGGAAAGCTCAATTTCTTAAAGGTCATGTACCCATTTTTTCCCACAAGTCTGAACAAACTGTATTGCCCCAGTACAGATATATTGTTTAAGCAGCTCTCGAGGTCAAAATAATGCATCTAATTATAAAGCATTTTACTGTTCGAAAATCAGGAAGTGCATGGTCAGCATGCTAGCTGTTGGTTATTTAGTCTCTTGAAAGTTGTGAAAAGTGCTTGTGATCTCATTGCAGTGAATAATTAGGAGGCTTGTAATGCATAAGGTAAGTGAGGAATAAGTCCTGACCACTTGGGAGCTTTCTACTATGTTATAATGTTGTTTCCTCATCAAGAACATGCCTGAAGAGATTTTAGATGTCATCCATGCATGTTTGAGTAATGTAGTGATTGCTCACAGGTCCTATTCAAAACATATTTATCCATGACTCAGCCCACAATCCTCTGTCACCCATGCTCCAACACTAAATATACAAAAGCAGGGAAAATGAAAGTGAAACTTATTAAATGTGTTATTACATTGTTTTCAGCAAATAAAGCATTTTCAAAACTAAAAGTTAATAAAGTGATATAAATATGTTATGTGTTCGTTAGTACACAATAGAAGTGTAAAACATCCTCTGTTAAAAAGACAGTAAATATCAGGAACAGTAAATATGATTTTAAAAAGTTATTATTTTTTCAAGCTTCAATTAACTCCGATATCGACTCTGTCTTGAGCACTTGACTCTGTGGACTGAGTGGCGTTTTGTACACCCATTACCTGGCATTAGCGTGCTCTGTTGCTGCCTGCTCCTCGCACACAGCCCAGGGGAGATGGCTGGAGAGGGAGAGGAGGCTCAGATCTCCTCTGGGACTCCACAGAGCAGCACCAGGGACCGGCACCGTACAAATGAGCCTCACGCATAGCAACTTTCTCCCCACCACTTTTCTGCACAATAAGCATTCAAGAAGGTGCATTTTAATTATAACCAGTGTTTGCAGTTACTGGGTTGTTCTGATTTTTTTTTTATTTTTATGACTTAAACTGCAAGCATCACAGATAACATTTACAGGGCTCATATAACATTATTTTCTGATCTATGTTAAAATATTGTTTCCTCATCAGAGTCATGCCAACAAAGTGAACTGTATTTTGTTAATTTCGTTATACTCCCAATTATAGCATCTTTATTTTCAGATTATAATATGTTAAAGGGCCCATGCTATGCTATTTTCTGATCTATGTTATAATGTTGTTTGCACATCAAAAACATAACTGGAGTTGTGTTTTGTTTCATTCACACAAGTTTAACTCAGAAATCCTGCATATTTAAGTTAAGAGTTCTTCTCTCAAACACCACTCTGTTCCACCTTATCATGTCATGTGGTAACACAGGAAGCACTCCACTGTGTTTTTAAACCTTTTCTTCAGCTCCACACACCTTCACTAGAAATTAGATTGAAATTGCCAATCTCTACTGAAAAAGGTAAAAGGAACTGTTAACCTAAAAACTATCACTTCATGACATCACAAGGTGGAACACAGCATTTTGTTTACTCAGACATATGTCAATGAAAGTGAACACTACTCCTGGTATGTTTTTGATCAGGTAATATCATTATAATATGGCTTGAAGCCCACAAAAGTTGTACACATTTACAACTTAAAAAGTGAAGATATTATGTTAACCACTTCAAGAAGGGTATTCAGCTGTATCAGTGTTTTGCATGTTTGAGTTATTCTCTCACGTTACTTTTATTGTTTTGAAAATGCTAAATTTTCCCCCCAGAAAACAACCTATTAACATGTTTTATAAGTTTCACTTTTGGTTGTGATGTTCTGAGTCCCCCCTCCCCTTGCTCTCCATGTTTAGTCACTCCCTCTTCAGAGCGCTATCACAACACAATCAAAGTGCATCCTGCTAATGAAACTACTGCACATTGCATCAGGTTTGTCAAGTTGTAGTATACAGTTTTGTATCTTGCGTTTATATATCTACTAAGAATTGCAGCTTACAGCTAACCGTAAGGAGGGTTTGAATTGTGTCATGGTGAGATCATTAAAATACCTGCAAGAATGACATCTACAACTTCTTTAGGCAAGTTTTTGAGGGAACAACATTATAACAGGGTAGAAAGCTAAAAAACAAAACAAAACAAAAACTCATAAAAAACAAAACAAAACTCATGAGTCTTCCAAAAGTTTTAAGACAGTAGTTTTCACTAACTGAAAGTTAGTGAAAAGTAATTGTTTTATATATATGGATTAATAACAATTTGACCACTCACATGATTTTTTTTTCTTTTTTTTTAGTTTGTCAAATTACATTTACCTGTCCAACTTACTTTTTTTTTTTTTTCGTCATTTGATATAATTGTATATTCATGTCAAGACTGTTTAATCCTGCTAAAATGTAGCCTACCTCTTTGTGAACCTGCTCTGAGGATTAATGAACACATTAATTAATCTCATAGATCATGAGTTGAATGCATGTCGCCCACGGTAAAACTCGAGGTAAAACTTGTGCTGGACCGTGGAGCCCTGGATTATTCCTCTTTTCTGTCCGTGTTGCTTTTACTACACGCGCTCATCGCATCTTCTCCGCTGCTCCTCCAGGACTCTCCCGGACTCTCTGTGGCACCTGCTTCCATGTGCGCGCTCTGACAGTCCAGCGGGGCCAGGAGCCACGCCCCCGAGTCTGCAAATACACGTGACCTTTGAGTGCGAGCGCGCCACGTCCCGCCCTCCGCTCCCCTTATTCGCCGCTTGACAGGCGCTGCAGCCCCCCATTGGTCCAGAGGCGCGTGCATCAAGCCGAATTCCATCGCCGTTGTCTTAGCGATGTGACGTCAAATGTCTAACAGGACCAGAGGAGTGGGTGCGTTTGGGCCAAGTTAGCGAAATTCTGTGCGTAAAAGGCGCTTTATTAAAAATGGCGCTTTGTTATCATGTTAGTGGATGTTGAAACGTCAACGAATCAATTTAAACTGTGAAAATTACGCGGTTCAGACATGTTTTGTACAAACTTAAAACTTAAAAACACGAACATTTTACGAAGTTAAGCTGATATCACGTTATTACAGATTTATCACCAAATACGTGGCTCCCAAGAACCTTTTATCGACACGAACATTCTTAACTAATGGTTCCAAAATAAATAAAAAAAACTCTCTATGTTTAAAATCCTCTGGAGAATAAAATAAACAAAGTCCTTTCCCGTTACTTCTTCGCATGTTTCTTTGGTGCGTTCGAGTGCCAAGGGAAAGTAGCGTGTGCGTCGCTCCGGAGGGGGGCCACCGTTCGTCAGCGAGGAAGGGGGCGGAGTCTCTCACTGACAAGACAGAGCCTGGCTTCTGTGAGTTTGTCCAAGCCCCCTAAAATAGCAGTCGGCGCGTAAATGTGCACCGAAATTACTCGTATCCAAGCGGAGACACCGATATAGCGCCTCGAGTCTATATCCAGACACTGACTTCGGAGCAGAGGTGAGTGGCCGAAATAGACGCGCTTGTTACGGGGGGAGAGAGCTGTTTGACAGGGACGAACGCGGAATGTGTCAAAGACTGAGCTCCATCATGTTGTAACGGACCTGGTTTAGTCCTGGTTTAGTCCCGGTTTAGTCCCGCTTCGGGGCGCGTTCACAGTTTAACTCACACTGCATCAAAACTGGGATAAACTCGGCACTAAACCAGGACTTAAACAGGACCAAACCAAGTCTACATCAGGACTAAACTGGACTAACAGCAGGACTAAACCAGAGCAAGTGTGAACCCGGTTTAGACCTCATTTGGACGTTAAACATGTCCAAGATCGACCTGGTTTATTCCTTGTTCAGTCCAAGTTCAGATCTGGTATTTAGTTATTATTTAGATCTGGTTTAGTCCCGGGTAAGTACTGGTTTAGTCCATGTTAAGTCCTGGTTAGTCCACGTTTTCTTTTTAGACATGATTTGTGCTGGTTCAAGTTCTGGTATGATTATTTTTTCGTCACGATTAAGTCCTGGTTTGTAACCTTTTTGTATTTAGTACTTGTTTATACCTAGTTTACACCCGGTTCATAACTGGTTAGCTCTGGTTTAGTCCTGGTTTAGTTCTTACATTCACAGTCAACATATTGAGAAAAATATAAGGTCCGGATCGATGTCTTGGTGCGTACGGGGAAGCACTTCACTGAACTGTCTCGAATCAAAAACTAAAATAACAACCGTACCATAAACGCGCTTTTCTATCTAATGCATTTCTTAATTTACTTACAATAATTCCTGATAATTCCTGTCAACTTGTATAATTTTATCCCACACTACATCAGTCGAATCGCGCTGTTTTCGCTTGGCGTTCGTGCGTAATAGGTGCCTCGAAAGTGTCTTGTTGTGAGTTTGTTTTGGGACAGCGCGGTAATCCTGAAAGTGCATTCGGTAAAGCGAGCGCGCAGTACGGGCAAAACAGCAATCAGTGTCTATGTAATAACATCCCTGCGCGGAGGAGACAACATGCTCTGGGCAGCCACAGACGGACCCAGCCAGGGAACCTTGTCATGGACCAGTTTTAGTCTGGGTTTATAGCGCGTAATGCCGGGATTCTGTTTAGTTTTTGTTAAATCTTAATTTTTGATCTAGTTTTTGTCTTGTTTATGCCCGTACTGTACCTGTTTTATTCTGGGTATTCTGTGGTCATGGTTAAATCTGAATTTTGCCTGGGTTTAGTCCGGGTTTAGTCCTGGTTTAAACCTGATTTTGTCTGGGTTTAGTCCTAGTTTAAACCTGAGTCTGTCTGGGTTTAGTCTTGGTTTAGTTCATCCTATTTTAAACCTGATTCTATCTGGGTTTAGTGTTGGTTTAAATCTGATTCTATGTGGGTTTAGTCTCGGTTTAAACCTGATTCCATCTGGGTTTAGTCCTGGTTTAGTCCTGGTTTAAATCTGATTCTGTCTGGGTTTAGTCCTGGTTTAGTTCGTCCTAGTTTAAACCTGATTCTGTCTGGGTTTAGTCCTTGATTAAACCTGATTTTGTCTGAGTTTAATCCTGGTTTAGTCTTGGTTTAAACCTACTTCTACCTGGTTTAGTCCTGGTTTAGTCCTGGTTTAAACCTGATGATTTTGTCTGGGTTTAGTCCTGGTTTAGTTCTTCCTATTTTAAACCTAATTCTGTCTGGATTTAGTCCTAGATTAAACCTGGTTTTGTCTGGGTTTAGTCCTGGTTTAGTCCTGGTTTAAACCTGATTCCATCTGGGTTTAGTCCTGGTTTAGTTTGTCATAGTTTAAACCAGATTTGTCCTGGGTTTAGGTCTGGTTTATAGCTGATTTCTTTTTTTTTTTTTTTTATCCTGGTATATAGCTGATGTTTGTTCTGAATTTAGTCCTGGTTTAGTGCTGATTTTTTCTGGGTTTAGTCCTGGTTTAATCCCGTGTACCACCAGTTTGGTCCTTATTAATTAAATCTTGCTGTATAATATATAAAACATATTTATAATTTAGGCTTAGGCTCACCCCAATAATAATATCACCAGTCACCACTGCTCTTAAATCTGGTTCGGTCCGGGGTTAGTCCCTGTTTAAATGGAAGTATCATGTTTAGTCCTACTTTATAGTCCTGGTTTGCTCCTGGTTTAATCCTGTTTTAGTCCTGCTTTATCGCTAATTTTATCTGGGTCCCTCTATAGTGCTGGTTTAGTCTTTGTTAATTAAATATTACTTTTAAACCTAGTTAAATCCTAGGTTAGTCCCTGTTTAAACTTGATTATGGTAGTGGTATGGTTTAGATCTGAATCTAGTCTTGATTTTGTCTGCGTTTTGATCTAGTTTTGGTCTGTGTTATACCTATTTTATTCAGGGTATTAGTCTTAGTTTGGTCTCAGCCCTGGTTTAATCTTGGTTTAATACCAATTAAATGTCTTTTTTTTCACACAGAACTGACTGCTGTGAGCTTTAAGTCAAGTTATAATGTTGTTACCTACTCAAAAACATGCCTGGAGTTGTTTTGTTTCATCCACATGTTTGAGTAACCCTGGTTTATTTGTTATAACGTAGATTTAAAAATTACGTATTATGGGCTCTTTAACATCTCGTGTAGTTTAGTCTTAATTTGGTCTGATCCTGGTTTAGTTCTTGTTTTTTTTTTTCCTGGCTGGAATCTATCTATCTAATCTTTTATTTGATTACTGCTTACTATTTGTGTTGGTCAAATCAGGTATATTTTCTTCCTAAAATTTTTATTCTGTGAAGCGACAGCAGTTTTGATATTTGACTGCAAGAAAATGATTTAATATATTTATCAGTTTAGTCTTGGTTTAGTCTTGGTTTAGTCCTGGTTTTTGGATGATTTTATGTTGGTTTAGTCCTGATTTGCATCATGTTTCAGTTTGGTTTAGTTCTTGTGTAGTCCTAGTTTATTGCTAGTGTAATCTGGGTTTTGGCTTCTTCCCTAGTCCTGGTTTAGTCCTAGTGTATTCCCAGTTTGATCCCAGTTTAGCCCTGCTTTAGTCCTGATTCACATTTACTGTAAACACTCTTGATAATAGCTGGCCCTGTGAGACCTGGATGTTACTACATGCTTCCTGACCCTGGCATTTGAACTGTGTTTAGTGGACACAGCCTCTGTTTCTCCGGGCTGTGCTGGTCGCTCACGGGTCACTCACTGCTGGGGTTCAATGCTTTGGGGAAAATATGTTATTCTGATTTTTCTGACAAGAATTGCATTTCTTACACTTCGTCAAGTCAAGATCATTCTAAAGCTATTCAGGAAAGATTTATTTCTGAATGTGGCTTTTTAAGTATTGATACTTGCTCAAATTAATATGTAGTTTAATTTTAGTATTGATCAGTATCAGATTTTTAATACTTTTGAGAAACACTAAGATTCTGTTCAAAACTGAAATATGAACTGACAAAGTAATGCAAGAATCATATGTATTTCCTAACTTGCTTGTGCAGGTGATGGCAGGGTTATCAGTTTTTTATGCAGAATAAGACAGAATATTTTGCAGTTTGTGGAAGAAATTATGGTACTTCAAAAACTGCATCCTTTGCGATATGCTAATTGTGTCCATTCCAATTGCGATTGTGTAGTAACTCTTTATGTCAAATTGTCTGAATGTGGAGTATTTCTGAAGTTACAAAATGTGTTATTTAATGGCAATTTTTCAACTTCTGTTCCTAATTTGGCTTTTGTAAATATAATAATTGTGATTTTTCTCAATTTTGTGGTTGGATTTATTTAAACACACACTTTAAAACTGATTGTGAATAGTGTTTCAGTCCAATTTTCTATACTACATAACAATTAGGGTATCATGATATTTCAAAAGACTAAGCTATGTGATATGGTTGTTAAATATACGCAGTAACGATCATTTATTGTTGTACACAATCATAATTTTAGTTTATATGTGGATGTTCTGTTTTGTTAGTCTGTTAAAAATAAAAATGCAACATAAACAAAACTTAAATTAAACCAGGGTTAATTTAATTTAGTATGGAAAATAAATTAATCCACCATCTGCCAGAAATAACAAACAAAACAAACAAACAAAAAAAAACCACGGCTTTTTCATTTTTTTGAAGATATAATAATTTGGGCCGAAATGTGCACTTTTTAACATGCTCACTATTCGTCTTAAATCTCCAGCAGAGGTCGATATTTTGTTTGGGTCAACCAGCTGCCTAAATTTTCATGCAATTTAGTTTATTTAAACACTTTGAAATTGTGCAGAGGACACTGCACAAAACGTGACTACACTGTTCTCTCATCTAGTTTGGAGTAAAACAGGGCTGCGCGTGAGTTTGTAGTAAATTCAAATGATATAAAAGAATGTAAATCTGCGCAAAAATATCGGCCATCAGTTCTTCTGGGCTGTAAACAATTGGTATCTTCATCGGTCCTGAAAAAGAAAAACTAAATATATTGGTCAATCACTAGTTTCTGGGATATCGATTATTGTGTCAACCGCTATTGCAATATATTGTGCATCCCTAATTACAATATAAATTCAAGTTCAGAACATAATCCTATATTACATTTGATGTACGTGTATATTTCATCAATGAATATGTATCATCAAAAACTGAACTTAACATAAACTTGGATCGGAACCTCTGACCTTCTTGTTATAAGGCAGAAATGTGTGCCACTGTGCCACCGTAATAAGTACTAGTGTGTTGTTTGTGTCTAACAGTGCAGGTGGGAATATGGAACAATGACACAGGTTCACGGCAGTGCCCCTGACCCCCTCTTGACCCACTTTTTGACCCCCCTCTGACCACTCTGAACGGCCGACCTTACAGTGTTTGTTTAAACCAGTTAAGCTCCAACTTGTGCTCGGTACAGTTAAGTCATCATTTTGTTTGGTTTCTTTATCTCCATTTGGCGACTTGAATGTATGTTATTACTCACACTGTATTACCATTTTAATGAAGCGTACATTAGTGTAATAGTTATTCTTTCTTATCCAGTTTAGTAAGTTTGCACTGAATTCAAATCAGATTGTTTCTC